GCCTTCTAGAAGGGACTTTTCTGGGGAGCTTTTACCGGCCGTAGAGCTGGTTGTCGGGAGGCTGGCAGGTGAGGCGGGTGATGAGGATATCGCCCGTCTGGTTTTGAATGCTTACGGACTTTCTACAGTTTGCTGTCTGAACAGATGTGTTTTGTGAAACGCTGAGAGTAGTGAGAGGCCTTTTCAAGCACAGTGTTGTACCTTTCGCCTCCCAAATCAGCCTCTGTTGGCCCGGAGCAGTGCAGAACAGCTCTGGGTCAGCCACCTTTGCCTGTTTACCGGTTGCCCGTTTGCCCACGCGCTTCCCTGCCGTGTCTTCGCAGTACCTCAGTAAGATTAAAGTTCAGCAGATCGAGAAGGACCGTGGCGAGTGGGACAGCCTGTCGCAGGAGGCTCGCCGCGAGAAGGAGTCGAGCCTGCAGATGTTTGGTCAGCTGGCACGCTTCCACAACATCATGTCCAACGAAACCATCGGCACTCTGGCCTTCCTGACCTCAGGTAGGGAGAGGAGAGCCCCTCCTGTGCACCGGGACCTGGGGAGGGGGCTTGCCTGGGAGCGGGCAGGCGGGAGCTCGGCTTCAGGGTGGTCGGAGTGGGGCGGGATTGCTGTGGAGCTCAGAGAACTGCTCGTTTCTGTTCCAGAAATTAAGTCCCTGTTTGTGCACCCTTTCCTGGCCGAGCGCATCATCTCCATGCTCAACTACTTTCTGCAGCACCTGGTTGGGCCTAAAATGGGAGCTCTGAAAGTCAAGGATTTCAGCGAGTTTGACTTCAAGCCGCAGCAGCTCGTGTCCGACATCTGCACCATCTACCTAAACCTGGGGTAGGCGGCAAGGGGGAGCTGGCGTGTGGGGTGGGGGGAGCCATCTCAGGGTATCCTGGCTGGCAGGGCCCCGTGGCCCCCTGCATCGCGGGGTGGGAGCCTCCCCTCTGGGAATGACGTTAACGGAATTGCTCTGTGTGCTGACTGTGCTCCTGGGCGGGCCCTTCAGAAGCCTGCTGCGCTCTTCTGTAACAATCTCAATTTAAATTACCCAGGAAAGTCAGCTGCAGCTCAGCCAGCAGGGACAGAAGTTAAGTACCGTCACAGCTACGTTAGTGCTGTGGGTCACTCTGGAGAGGACCTGGGAGAAAAGCTTAGTTGTGGTCGAGCTTTCCTCTAGCTTTGAGTTCTTTGTTGTGGTAACGCAGCTGCTGCGGGGACTGTGTTGTGCAGCCCAGTGAAACGTGGATTGTTAAACCTTTGCTCTCTTTTGCCCTGTGGTCCAGGGACGAAGAAAACTTCTGTGCCACGGTGCCCAAGGACGGCCGCTCCTACTCGCCAACGCTCTTTGCCCAGACCGTTCGAGTTCTGAAGAAAATCAACAAGCCCGGCAACATGATAGTGTCTTTTGGTAACCTGGCTGAGAGGATCAAGGTGAGATCCGGAGGGAATTTAAGCGCAAAAAAAAGGCGGAGCTGGTTTCTGGCGTCCTTTTCCGTCTGCGTGTCACTGGAGCTGGATTTCTGGGAGCAGGGCTATCTCTGAGGCATGCGGGTGGGGCAGCCAGGGGGGCTCTCTGCCAGCGCGAGCCTGTATGCGCCTTTAGCGGCACGTTAGGAGCCTGGTTCTGGAGGAACGGGGAGACCGGGTCTCTAAAGCAGCGTGTCCCCCCAGTCTCTTGCAGACCGCCAGCAGCAGGAGGAGGAGACGTACGCAGACGCCTGCGACGAGTTCCTGGATCCGATCATGAGCACTCTGATGTCAGACCCTGTGATACTGCCTTCCTCCCGTGTCACCGTGGACCGGTCGACCATAGCCCGGCACCTCCTCAGGTACGAGGTCCTGCCCTCCTGCCTGGACCCTTGCTGGGGACCTGTTTCGCTTGTCCAGTGACAGCTGGTCTCGGCGTGTCTGCTTTGCGTAACCGCAGAAAGATCGTGCCGCTTTTCCTGGCCTATCTTTCTCGGTTTTATTTTTCTCCTAGTGCTCGAACTGTCCAAATAATCTCCTCGATGCTTTGTCTTTCAGTGATCAGACGGATCCTTTCAACCGGAGCCCCCTCACCATGGACCAGATCAGACCAAACACAGAGCTTAAAGAGAAGATCCAGCGGTGGCTTGCGGAGAGGAAGAAGCAGAAGGAGGAGCTGGAGGAGACGCTGAACTGAAAAACCGGGATCTCATCCCTAGGCCTACAATCACTGGCGAGATCAATGCCTTGCAGGGGTGGCAGCTGCGGCTCTGGAGCGTCTGTGCAGGCCATGTTGAGTGCGCTGCCACCGGCTCCGGAGTCTCTGCTAGGACCTTCCCCTCCATCCCTCTTTCTGTCTGTTCCTTCCGTGGCCTGTTCTTTAGTACTAAGCCTTTCCAGCACACTGCAGCTTCGAGCCTCTGCCTCGAGAGAAGACCACAGCCCTTCTTGCCTGGCCCCGCGCCCCGGCCCTCTGTTACTTGTTCTCTGTGTCAGCCACGTTCTTCTCCAGCGACGCCAAAAATCTCCCTCTGTTCTGCTCCCGTTGGTTCCCGCCTTGTTTAAGCTCTTGGTTTAACGTGCAAGCGGTGCCTCCGTAGCCACTCCCGGGCTGGGGACGGGGGGTCTG